ACCAAAGCTCCCTTGGTCCACTTGGGTTCCTAACCACTGTAATTTCTTGTCATGTAATAGTAACACTACTAACCTCAGTTATCAACAAACTAATGAGAACATGTAAGTGAAGTGGTTTACATAGTGTCTGGTGGGAACTTTATAAGTGGGTGACATTATTATTATCATTACTCAGCAAATGGAGCCTAAGAAGTGTCAAGAGATTCAAAGAGAAAGGAGTTCTGGCAGTTTTGTGATCCCAAGGGCTCTCCAGGGTAGGGTCTTGGGATAGGGTGGAGACACCAGACTCTCTTCCAAGCCTTGGCACAGCGAGCTGCAGTTCTCCCACGGACCACGAGGGGGCAGCAGATTACCTCCTCACCCAAACCTAACACTTCAGGGTCCACCCTTCTTCCCCTATCCCTGGTGCTGTCCCCACCCCATTCCCCAGATGCTGGGATTCAGGTTTAAAAAGGAGGAAGGTACAACACGGATGAGCCTTGAACATACTTAGAGAAAGAAGCCAGCCACGTAGTGTGTGATTGCATACTGTGAAATATCCATGACAAACACAGAAGTGAAGTAGGTTTGTGGTTTTCGTGGGGGAGGAGGTTTATAAAGGCAGGAGGGTAATAGGGAGTGATGTTTTGTGGTGTGTGAATTGTATTTCAACAGCAAGATTACATTTTAAAGAAGAGACAGAAAAAGAACCAGAAGAGGTCCCGGGACTTGGTCCCAGCCCAGGCTGCCGTCTGATGACCACAAGCAAAATGTTGGAGGCTGATGGGAGAGAGAGGTCAAGGCCTGTTCCTCCCCTCCCCCAAGCCCATTGTCTGTGGAAGCCGGTCTTTGAACTGAGGCCTTCAGACCTTTGAATCTCTGAATGCCAACCATCGCCCTGATTCCCCCAGCCTACTTGTCTGCAGAGCTCTGGATGTTGGGCCTGGGGACGGATTGTAACCTCTGAGCCCAGCCCCAACGTTGCCTAAAGATCACACACCCCCTCCAAGCCACCCACCCGGCGGGGCCTGGCTTCTGAAATGCAGAAAAGCCAGCTGGCGCCCCCATGTGTGCAGCAAGGGGTGTGTGTGTGTGTGTGTGTGTGCGCGCGCGCGCGCGCGCGCGCGCGCACCAGGGCAGAACCCTCCATAGGGTTTTCAAAGCCATGACCGTTCAGAAGGAGATACTCAGGATTTTCTTCCGAGGTGCCTCTGAGTGGGTCCAGACTGGAAGGGGTCCAACAGCAGTGACAAGCTTAGCAGTCAAATGCATGCTCATTTCTGCCAATCAGGGACTCCTTCTCACTGGCCCCCTGGGCCTAAAACCCAGCCTTAAACAATCCTGACCCCAAAATCCATCTCCCCTTCCAGACTTAACCCATCCCCAGCCTGACCACACCAGCCCTCTCCGTCGCCAACTTTAGCTCTGAAGGGGAAGCCATCCTCAAATCCATCTGCAACCCGTTGCAGCTCTTTCCCATCTCCATCTGTGCATTCAGTTCACAAACCTGTACCTAGCACCTACGGGAGCTCTGGTAGCATAGTGCCTAAGGCACTTGGCGGCTAACCGGAAGGCTAGCGGTTCAAACCCACCAGCCACTCCTCGGAAGGAAGATGGGGCAATCTACTTCCGTAGTGATACTGCCCCCCTCCCAAGGAGGGGTCGCTATGAGTTGGGGCCAACTCGACAGCACATAATAACAACAATAGCAGCACCTACTGTATGCCAAGAGCCCTTAGGTGATGCAAACGGTTGCACTCAACTGTTAACAGGAAGGTTGGAGCTTTGAGTCCACCCAAAGGCACCTAGGAAGTCAGACCTGGCAACCCACTTCCCAAGAATCAGCCATTGTAAACCGTAGGGAGCACAGTTCTACTCTGACATACGTGGGGTTGTCATGAGTTAGGATCGACTCAATGCCAACTGGTTTTACTATATGCCAAACACGCATTCAGGGATATAAAGATGGGCAGAGTAGAGAAAAAGCAAAAAATAAAACAAACCACAAACTCACAGCCATCGAGTTGATTCCAACTCAGTGATTTGAGGCGGTAAATCTTTACGAAAGTAGATTGCCCCATCTTCCTTCCTCAGTCAGATGCCTTAGGCACTGCACCACCACAGCTCCTTGAGACAGGGAAAGTCTACAGTAATAAAAGTTACATTCTAGGGCAAGAGTTAGGAAATCTACAACAAAGAGGAAGTGGATAATTTCAGATTGGGAAAGG